ACTGCAGAGGCTGCGGACAGCTTCACAGCGCGGTGCTCAACTGACTGCGCCACCGGGGAGGCCCTGGAAAACTGCTTTTGGACAAGGAACTAAATAATGGAAGCTCTTCTGTCCATTTGCTCTTTCTCTAGTGTGGAAGGGTACTGGTTTGGGGTGAGAAACACTGGTTGTGTTGCTTGAGATTTAGCACAGGTGCTCTATCTTTAGCAAATGGTGTTTGAAGGTACTTGTGAGAGAGCAAAGCAGTTGGAGGGAATGTCCCAGAACTGAACAAGGAATCGGTTTGATAGTCATCTACTAGTATAGACTGGGGAATGACCAAAACCTTCACATTTGGCAGTTCCCTAGTCATTGGTCATGGTGATTCATTGTGGCATTGCTCAGTGGGCAGTCTTTAGAATTCCTTATGGGTTTACCCAGATTTTGTGATCTTGATTCTTAATGTTTTTAGTTGTACTTTATGGATCAGGATTTTTTTTTTTTTAAAGATTTATTTATGGGCCTCCCTGTTGACACAAGGAGTTAATTGTTAGCCTTATGAAGCAATCACAGCTACTGCAGCATGAGTTCAATCCCCAGCCAGGGAGCTGACCCACATGGTGCAGCAGACCTCTCCTAACTCGCCCGCTGCTCCCCTCAGCAGTGCATTACAGTCAGTATACTTGTTCTGTTCCCCGCTTTGTCTGGTGAATCTTCTCATCCCCCTGTACCTCTGGCCTGTACCCCAGTTCTTGTATACATAAATAAATAAAAAGTAAGTTAGACCTTGGGAGTCCCCAGCCTCAGCTTTGTTCCCCTATAGGGTCTGGTTTCCCCTTGCCTGTGTCTTCCCCTTACTTGCCTTGCTGCTTTGAGCTTCTGGTTAGCGGTATGAACTGGGAAACAAGCTCTCACTGTGTGATGGGTCCAAGGCCAGTGGGGAAGGAGGACTGGGCTGTGATGCCTGGATGTGCCCCAGACCTGTTTGTGCCTCAGCCTCATATTGTGTATACAGTGGGTCCTCTCTCAATCCATGGGAACAAGCATAGAACCTTCACTGACAGAGAACCTAGCATGTGTCTGGCCGTGTGAGCCTGGGTGGCCTCCTTTTCCTTTTCACAGACTAAAAAACTGGGGCTGATGTTCGGTCAAGTCTCAACTTATCTAAAGCTGGGATTCAGCCCAGGGCTCTTGGAGATTGGTGCTTCCCCTTAGGTAGGCTATTGTTACAGGTATGAGTCCTGGCTTGTTGTGGGGGCTATGAGTCTCAGAGCAAACTTTCTTCATATCCCACTTTACCCTTTGGCACTGAAAGGAAAAATAAGTGTTCTAGAGCTTGGAAGTTTTGAAAGCTGGGAGGGGGGTGTCAGGATTCCTGTGGGCCAAGGGGCTTCTGGTAGAGCAGGTGTTGCATCCATGAGCATTTCCTCAACTGAGTGCCCTCAGGAGGAAAGGGCCACTAGTGGACTCCTTTGAGAACTGTGATTGCTGCCAGCCCTTCAGTCATGTTCAGACTTCCCATTTCAGGGGCTTTCCCCAAATGACCTTGAAATTGCAGATATGCCAACTTGCCTGTGACTTGGCTAGTTTCCTTGTGGAGCTCAGATTTGTTTTTTTTCCTGTGGTCCTACTATTAAAATGAATCATTGGGGCCTCCCTAGTGGCACAGGGAGTTAAGTTGCAGCACTGTGAAACTATCCGCAGTTCAAGCACAAGTTCAATCCCTGGCCTGGGAGCTACCCACATGGCGCAGCAGACCTCTCCTGTCTCACCCGCTGCTCCTCTCAGCAGTGTATTTCAGTCAATCCACCTGTTCTGTTCCCCACTCTGTCTCTGGTGAATCCTCTCACCCCCTGTACCTCTGGCCTGTACCCCAGTTCTTATATATATATATAAATAAATCTTTAAAAAAATAAAATAAATCATTGCCTATCAAAGTGCTGCCTGGATCTGACAGAGTTCCCAGTATTAGGATGCTTGGAGATACATGGGTTTTGGAATATTCATTTTTGCGGAGTTCCCAAGACCCTGGTGACTGTCTGTTTTAGCCTCTGTGGAGCCATTGTTGGACACCTGTCCTGTGACCAGGGCTTTAGGATCCTGAGGAGCCAGAATCTGCAGAGAGGATGGCAGGTGTATGTAGGTTGCAGATGCTTGGCTTTTTTTCTGACAGGGTTGTAAAATTGTGGGTAGATAATAGTGAAAAAATTTTGTTTCAGTAATCAAAATAGAGCTTCCATATCTCAGTTTGAAATTAAGCATTAGAACTTTATTTGGTAAAAATCTGGGATTTTTCCTCAATGTTTACTATTTTTATTGCATATTATTAATGTTATAAAGTTATTTACCATAGCTTAAATGAGTATGTCTTCCAAGGCTGATTGTGTTGGAGCCTTGGCCAAAGATTTATTCCTTAGGAAATATCTGACAGTGGAACTGTGGCTCTTGGGGTGAGCAGAGTAGGAAATGAGTCAGGCAGGAAAACTTTGAGAAGGCGAGGTCTTCCCCCCACCTCCCCCTTATAAGATGCCCTTCTGTTACAAAGTGTGTAGCTGGAGATAGCTGGGAAAACACTGGGGCTGCTTACTGACTGTGCTGGTGGAACACACAGGCCTAGCTGCCTGACAACTCAGGAATGGCCCATCAGCCTGGCCACCTAATTGGCAGACACCTCTGGAACCTCTCCTGGTTTCTCCTGCGGGACCAGTGTCCTCTATAGTGTCTTCTCTTTGGCTAACTTCACCCAGAGCTCCATTCCAGATCCTCCCTTTCTCCTGTCTCTGCCCTCCCTCTGCCTGGAATACTGTCATCCTGGTGGTGACCATTATCCTCTTGTTATAATGATCTGAGACATGGGTCTTAGCCTGACTTGTTTATTCTCCATCGCTCATTCCTAACCCACTTCTGTAAAACATTTTAAAATTCCCTGACTACATTTAGGCCTTACATCTTTGTTTCATGTGTTTTGCAAAACAAAAGCAGTCAGTTTTTGCTTTATATACTTATTTGTGCATGTGGTAGTTTTTGTATTTAACATAATTGAACTGAAAAGATTTTTCAGTCAAAACACTTGAAATAAGTTATTTTTGTAGTTAAAAAGGATTCTAGAGGAAAAATATATTTAGTATCTTTCATGGATGTGAAGAGATCCATATTTATAGATATTTTACCATCTCCAGGGGTGGCTGTGTTTGCAATAGATGATGAGTGATGAGACAGGGTTCTTAGTTGTGCATTGACTGGGTGATGGCGCACTTTAGAGTTAATGGGATGAGGTATCACAAAAGAAATGGCATTCACAGACCCTCAGTGATTTCAGAGCAGTGAGAAAAGTACAGTAACTCCTAATGTCAGATGTCTTCTGGATGTTTGCTGGAGGTAGGAAACCTGTTTATAGGGATCTAAGTGTCTGGTCTCTTGATAAAGTTGATGGAATTGCAGCATGCTGCCTGGATACCTTGGTTCAGGGAAGATCATGTACAAGCTGAGAAGATTCAGAATGAGTACCCATGTCTCCTCCCCAGTCATGTAGGCACCTGTCTGTTCACAGAACGAAGCTCCAAGAACCAGACCCACTGGGGAGTCCAGCAAACATGATTGTGGCCTTTTTGTCACAGTGATAAGCATCAGTGAAGGGCAGTCCTGGGCGTAGACTGACAGCAAGGCATGCCATTTGTTGGTCAGTGTGTCTCTGCACTGGATGATATAGGAGGGTGTAACTGGTGACTCCAGGTAGACCAGAGAGTGGGTGCCATGTTTCTTGTGCTGCAGGCGGGCATAGGTATTTCCCAAAGGTGAAAGAAGTCATAGATGGAGGCTGGGCGAGATGCAAGTCTTGTTTCTGTCTTGCCAGCAGTGGTGGATGTTTTTATAGTGGTATTCCTTTGGGTGTTCTGAGTAATACCTGTTATGTCCCTGTGGAAAAGGGCTTCCAACCTGAAATAAGTCTGGGAGGTGCTGTGCTATTGGGTGGGGTAATGATAAGAGCTCAAGTCTGCTTCCGTGCCTGGGTTCTCCAGCATCAGAGATGGGCTCTATACATTCCCCAAACTTAGTTGGCTCAAGAACTCTTTTAGGGACCAGAACTCCTTGAAATGCCTATGATAGTAGACACTTTTAAAATATTTGTTTCCAATCTCCCATCCTGGGCATTGCAGTTTTTCTTGAGCTTTTGAAAAGCAGGGTTAGGGCGCAAGGGGTTAAGCACAGCACTGTGAAGCTATCTGTAGTCTCTGCAGCACAAGTTTGATCCCTAGCTGGCCAGGAAGCTACCCACATGATGAGGCAGACCTCTCCTGTCTTGCCTGCTGCTCCCCTCAGCAGTGTATTTCAGTTTGCCTGTTCTGTTCTCCACTCTCTCTCTGGTGAATCCTCTCACTCCTGCCCCCCACACCTCTGGCCTGTACCCCAGTTCTTGTATGCATAAATAAATAAATCTTTAAAAAGAGAAAAAAGAGAAAAGCAGGGTTAATTAAGATGTTCCACTAGGTTTGAGTTTAACATGGTGGTTGTAAGGAGAGTCATTCTGGAGTACTGAGTTGTTCCTTGCACCCAGATTTCTAAAAGCACTCTATGCCAGGCCTATGACTCAAGCAGAGTTGTGGTGTTTGCACAGGGCAGGGGAGAAGTCTGCGGTGAGGTTGGGAAGGAGTGCTGAGGGATGAGATGCTTTGCAGGGAGAGTAGGCAAGTAGGTGGCAGAGCATGTCACGAGTATAAAAATCTGGAACATTCTTGAGCTTTGCGCCTTGGATAAGCTTTGTGAGTGCCAGCATCACTGTTTCCCCACTGTGTGGCCTTGGGTGAATCATTTGCCTCCCCAAGTAGCCCATCTGGCAACCCCAGGCTTTAGTGACAGGTGTAAATGAACTCCGGGAGAAAGGAGTTAGTTCCCCACTAAGAATTCTGAACTGTACCTCAAGCTTATGACACAGTTCAGGATAGGCCAGTGTTTAACTGTTGTGATCATTTTTAGGTTATGCAGTGACAGTAGCACTTACCTCGTGCTGGTGTCTCTTCTAGGTATCAGCGGCGGGAAAGGAGGCCTTGCCATCCTGGCTACACTGGGATCCACAGAGTCACACCCTGGAGGGCCTTCCCCTTGACACCGATAAGGGTGTACATTACATCTCAGTGAATGCCGCACGACTGGGGGCCAATGGGAGCCATGTCCCCCAGACCTCCAGCGTGTTCTCTATTGAGGTCTACCCTGAAGACCACAGCGAGCCACAGTCCATGCGAGCGACTTCACCAGACCCTGGTGAGGTGATGTCATCTGCCTGTGCTGCCGATGAGCCTGTGACTGTCCTGACTGTGATTCTGGATGCTGACCTCACGAAGATGACCCCAAAGCAAAGGATTGACCTTTTACACAGGATGCGGAGCTTCTCAGAAGTGGAGCTTCATAACATGAAGTTAGTGCCGGTGGTGAATAATAGACTGTTTGATATGTCAGCTTTCATGGCTGGCCCGGGAAATGCAAAAAAGGTGGTAGAGAATGGGGCCCTGCTCTCCTGGAAACTCGGGTGCTCCCTGAATCAGAACACCGTGCCTGACATTCGTGGTGTGGAGGCTCCTGCCAGGGAGGGTGCAATGTCTGCCCAGCTTGGCTACCCTGTGGTGGGTTGGCACATCGCCAACAAGAAGCCCCCTCTTCCCAAACGCATCCGGAGACAGATTCATGCCACACCCACACCTGTCACTGCCATTGGGCCTCCAACTACAGCCATCCAGGAGCCACCATCCAGGATCGTGCCCACCCCCACATCTCCAGCCATTGCTCCTCCAACAGAGACCATAGCTCCGCCAGTCAGGGATCCTGTCCCTGGGAAGCCCACGGTCACCATTCGGACTCGTGGTGCCATTATTCAGACCCCAACCCTAGGCCCCATCCAGCCCACTAGGGTAACAGAAGCTGGCACCACGGTTCCTGGCCAGATTCGCCCAACCATGACGATTCCTGGCTATGTGGAGCCTACAGCAGTTATTACCCCTCCCACAACTACCACCAAGAAGCCACGGGTGTCCACACCAAAACCCGCTACGCCTTCAACTGACTCTTCAACCACCACCACCCGCAGACCAACCAAGAAACCACGGACCCCCCGGCCAGTGCCCCGGGTCACCACCAAGGCTCCTATCACCAGGTTGGAAACTGCTTCCCCGCCCACGCGCATCCGCACCACCACCAGCGGCATGCCCCGCGGAGAACCCAACCAGCGCCCAGAGCTCAAGAACCACATTGACAAGGTAGATGCCTGGGTTGGCACCTACTTTGAGGTGAAGATCCCGCCTGACACCTTCTATGATAAAGAGGACACTACTACCGACAAGCTGAAGCTGACACTGAAGCTTCGGGAGCAGCAGCTGGTAGGCGAGAAGTCCTGGGTGCAGTTCAATAGTAACAGCCAGCTCATGTATGGCCTGCCCGATAGCAGCCACGTGGGTAAGCATGAGTACTTCATGCATGCCACAGACAAGGGGGGGCTATCAGCTGTGGATGCCTTTGAGATCCATGTCCACAGGCGCCCTCAAGGGGACAGGGCTCCTGCCAGATTCAAGGCTGTGTTTATGGGTGAACCAGCACCAGTGGTGAATGACATACACAAGAAGATTGCCCTGGTGAAGAAGCTAGCCTTTGCCTTTGGGGACCGCAACTGCAGCACCATCACTCTGCAGAATATCACCCGGGGCTCCATTGTGGTGGAATGGACCAACAACACACTCCCCCTGGAGCCCTGTCCCAAGGAGCAGATCACGGGACTGAGCCAGAGGATTGCTGAGGATGATGGGAAACCTCGGGCCGCCTTCTCCAATGCCTTGGAGCCCGATTTCAAGGCCCTCAGCATTACTGTGACAGGTGCTGGCAGCTGCCGGCATGTACAGTTTATCCCTGTGATGCCACCTGGGAGGACATCCTCAGTGGCACCGTCCACCGAAGCGCCAGACAGGGACCCGGAGAAGAGTAGCGAGGATGATGTCTACCTGCACACAGTCATTCCGGCTGTGGTGGTTGCAGCCATCCTGCTCATCGCTGGCATCATCGCCATGATCTGCTATCGCAAGAAGCGGAAGGGCAAACTCACCCTTGAGGACCAGGCCACCTTCATCAAGAAGGGGGTGCCTATCATCTTTGCGGATGAGCTGGATGACTCAAAGCCCCCCCCCTCCTCCAGCATGCCACTCATCCTGCAGGAGGAGAAAGCCCCTCTTCCCCCTCCCGAGTACCCCAACCAGAGTGTGCCCGAGACCACTCCTCTGAACCAGGACACCGTGGGAGAGTACACACCCCTGCGGGATGAGGATCCCAATGCTCCTCCCTACCAGCCACCTCCGCCCTTCACAGCCCCCATGGAGGGCAAGGGCTCCCGTCCCAAGAACATGACCCCATACCGGTCGCCCCCGCCCTATGTCCCCCCTTAACCCACAAGCGCCTGGGTGGAGGCAAGGGTAGGGCAGGGCCCTGGAGACAACATGGTGTTGTCTGTGGAGACCGGTGGCCTGCAGACCATCGCCCACTGGGAGCCGACACCTGACCTAGCACATACTGACACACACAGGGCCTGGACAAGCCCACCCTCTTTGGTCCTCCTAAACCCCAAAGCAGCTGGAGAGACTTTGGGGACATTTTTACTTTTATTTTTTGCCTAACAGCTTTTTGTTTGTTCATAGAAAATTCTTCGCTACGTTCTTGATGGCTGGCTCTGAAAGCACTGTTTGGAGTAGAGGTAGATGGAGGGAGCGAGGAACCGTGAATGAACTTGCAGGCAGTGCTGGGCGGCCCCCCGGCTCTCTGCGTTTTGCCTTTAACACTAACTGTACTGTTTTTTCTATTCACGTGTGTCTAGCTGCAGGATGTAACATGGAAAACAGTAGCTAAAGATTAAGTTCAAAGGACTTTCAGAAGTTAAGGTTAAGTTTTTACATTTAATCTGCTGTTTACCTAAACTTGTATGTATAATTTCGGGGTGGGTATGGGGAATTGCTTTGCTAAAAATAAGCTCCCAGGGTGTTTCAAACTTAGAGAAGACCAAGGGACAGTATTTTTTATCAAAGGAATCCTATTTTTTCACACTATGTAACTTGGTTGCTCTGATACCCCAGAGCCTGCCTGGGGGCCTCCCGGCCCTGGTGCTGGGCTTGCTCTCCCGCTGCTGCCAGGGGCTGGAAGCTGGAGGGGCCTCTTGGGCCGTGGACATCCGCACCCTCACCCCATGCACGCTAGTGGCCCGCCATCTAGGGGTCTTCATTTTCATGGAAAGGGGACTCCAAGAGGCAGTGGTGGCCATGGCCCCCAACCTAGGTGCTCCAGGGTGGGCCAGCTGCTCGTGGTGGGACCTGAGGAGGTCGAGGGACTCTACTACATCACCTTTCTTTCTTTTACCCTTCTGTGTTTTTCTTTTCCCTTCTAAAAGGAATATCATGGTTTTTGAAACACTCAGTGGGGGACATTTTGGTGAAGATGCAATATTTTTATGTCATGTGATGCTCTTTCCTCACTTGACTTTGGCCGCTTTGTCCCAACCGTCCAGAACCCTACCTTGACCCACCTCACCCCTCCTCTGGCACTGCAGTCCCAGACAATAGGCCTCAGTGGCTGGAAAAGGTCTGGTGGCTGGGGAGGAGTGCCAGCAATATAGTTCATAGTAAAAATCTGTGGGCTCTCAAAGCTAATTTTTTACTAAAGTTTTTATACAGCCTCAAATTGTTTTATTAAAAAAAGTTTAAAAATGGTGATGCTTACAGCAGTTTGTACAAGCTCTTAGTGTTGATTCCATGGAACTGACGGCTTTGCTCATTTTGATTCCTACCCCGTACCCCGCCCCCCCCCACCTCCCTTTTTCCCTAACAGTTTAAATTCCGGAATTACACTGGGACTTCTTTTGCCTTTTGTAGCAGAATGTCTGTCTGTCCATCTGCGTCTCTGTCGGGTGACTCAGGGGTGCCCACTCTGCTTTGATTCTCCTCGGCTGGAAGAAACCATTTTGAGCATGACTTTCTTGACATCTGGGAGTTATTTTGGGTACCTTTGAGGGAGGAATGCCTTTTGCAATAATGTATCCCTTCCATGATTGAGGGCAGGTGGGTGGACCCAGGCTCCCTTTGCACACGGAGCAGCCACTTCTAAGCCATATCGAACCATTTTTCAGAGGATTCGTGTGTGCTGCCTCAGGAGGGGAGGGCCAGTTATAAGGGAGGGTTTCTCCACCCTGCCCTTCTCTGGAGAGCGTTTCCCCTTGCGCCTTCTCCCACAGGACCCACCCCTTCTCCCCTGCCCATCCTTGTGGGGGGCTACATAGTGAGCAGTGCCTCTGTTGGGGGAGCCTGTAGATGAGAGCTCAGCGGACCTCTGGCGACTGGGCCTGTGCCTCCAAGCCAAAGTGTCCCCACTGTCCCAGAGTCAGGAGCACGGGCAGAGTCTGACCTGGTGAGATTATTTCTGATGACTTCGTCAAAAAATAAACAATTCCCAGTATTCCAGGTGAGGGCTTTGAAAGGCCTTCCAACAGCTCCGTTGCCCCTAGCAACCCCACCATTGGGCACTGCCATGCTGAGACAGGCTGGCCCAGAATGGCCTGTTGCCATAGCAACCGGAGGCGATGGGGCAGTGAACGGAATAACAACAGCAACAATGCCCTTGCAGGCCGCCTCCTCCCCTGAGCGCTGGGCTGGCGATGGCCATTGAACTCTGTGAGACAGAGAGCCAATCTCACATTCAAGTGTTCACCAACCACTGATGTGTTTTTATTTCCTTCTATATGATTTCAAGATGTGTTTTCTGCATTCTGTATAGAAACATATCAAACTAAATAAAAGCAGTGTCTTTATTACAATGCCGTTGCCTCCAAGCATCTATTTCTCTGGCCCCTAATGTTCTAGGATGAGTGGTGGTGGGGCTGGAGTCCATGTGACAGAGGAAGATGGGAACCAGCCAGCCTACTCAGAGGTGGCCTTTGAGCAGCTGACCAGCTAGCTTCCACGGCCTTTCCATTTCTGTGCCTCTGGAGCGCAGGCGGGTGTGTTCCAGAAGCTCTGCCAAAACACAGGCCCCCTTAGCACCTCTTCTGCTGCAAACCAACTGAAATAGGCTTGGAGCTTCAGTTTCCTCAATGTAAGGTGGGGCGTGCAGAAACCCCAGTGAGACTGGGTAGGAAGGGAGGATGGCGCCTCCTCCCACAGGTCCTGCTACAGTCTGTCTGCCCCAGAGTGTGTCAGGCTCTGCAACTCCTGGGCAGGGTCCCTCAGGCTTCTAAAGATGAGGACTTAAAGATTCCTCTGGCTGTAGCATCACCCTAGCTCTGCCCACACTGCCTTGTGGGTTAGTAAATCTCCCAGGTAGTCACAAGGCAGCTTAGGCTTTGGAGTGGGGAGAAGGAGAGAAAGGATTCTGGTAAGGGTGTTCTGCCCTGATTGGACCTAGTGATTCTGGGAGCCTTTCCTTAAGTGCCCTTTTTTGGGACAAGCAGGCCAGCTGAGTACTCAGGCTTAGTGTGACTCAGTACTCAGAAAGAAACTAGTGGTCAGGGGACGGTGCCCAGGGTGTGAGAGACAGCGGATGCCACAGCTGTGTTTTCAGAGATAGGATCAAGGGTCACAGAACAACTAAGTGATACCTCTTCTGGGCTCACTCCATTGCCATGGGGTCCTCACCATCTCTACCTACAGGCCCCAGACTGCTGTTCTGCTCACAGCTGTCGGAGCTCCACATTGCAGGTAGAGCCAGGTCCCAGTTTGGGGAGTTGTTGAGGGTCAAACAACTACTTAAGAAAAAACACAAATGCCAGGAAATGCTGCCCCCAGTAGGTATTCAGAGACGCCTCACCCCTCGGGACTAGCAGGAGAGCCCAGAAAATGACCCTGCTCTTGATCTCATAACCCCAGGAAATTCCGCTTAAAGTCTAACTTGAAGCCACTGGGTTATCAGTGAACTCACTGCAACGAACGTGAGTAAAGGGATCCTCAGTGTCAACAGAGAGTAGTAATTATGGTAGGCAGGGCATGAGGAAGAGAAGCCACAAGGACCCTTGGTCTTTGCCCTGCCCTAATCTCACTGAGGACCCCTGATACTTGGCCCAGCACATCTTTGCCCCCCAGTGTTCTTACCTTGTCTGTGTGACCTTTCTTTGGTTAAGGTCTTTTGATCTGGAGAGAGGGTGGTGGAGGGAAGGGGCAGAAGGAAAGGGACATTGTGGGGGAGGGAAAGAGGGAGCTTTCAGATCCATGTAAATCTCTTCCTGCCCACCTCTCATATAGAGTAAGTTTCTGGGATCCCTCTGACCACCTGTGAGGTGGGGACAGCAATCCTTTCCAAGGTGTTCTGAGATACCCTAGGAACTAGTGCAGGTATAGAGGGTAGAATTAGGATGAATCACTCCCAATGTGTCTGCCTACAAAAGGGGACCATAGTGAGGTGTCTAGAAACTTCTGGTGAGCCAAGCCCTCTAGAATATCAACAGTTTGGTGGGGACCAACTCCCCTTCATGCAGCCCCACCTGGCCTTGTTTGCAACAGGTTGAAAAGCTCCTAGGAGAGGCCCTTGGGTCCTCTAAAGCGCAGAAGTCCCCACTCAAGCACCAGTCTTTGAAGGTCAGCTTTACTCCTCTCTGTATTACCGTATCTTAAAAATACAAATTGGCTTATTTCTTACTCTTTTCCTGCTGTGCTTACCTTGTCAATCACTATCTTGAGGCAAGGTGTCTGGAAACTCAGACAGGGCAAGGGCCAGGTCTTATGGCTAGTGCAAGGCAGGTTCAGTTCAAAGTGTGAAACCAAACTCTAGTTTTTTTTTTTTTTTTTTTTTTTTTTTTATAGAGGCATGCTTTATTTATTTGTTTGCTGGTTTGTTTGTTTGTTTTGTTTATACATGCACTGGGTACAGAGAGAATTCACCAGAGCCAGAGCGGGGAGCAGAGCAGGCAGAAGGACCGAAGTACACTGCTGAGGGGAGCAGCGGGCGGCAGGAGAGGTCTGCACGCCATGTGGGACCCTCCTCTGGTGGCCGGGGAGCAGCCGGGGATCGAACCGGCGCCGCAGAGGCCGCGCGCAGCCTCGCAACCCAGCGCTCAACCGCTGCGCCACCGGGGAGGGCCAAACTCTAGTTTTTTTTCTGACTAAACTTTTGTGCACATTACAGAGCAGCAAAATATTACTTGAAGCCCTCACTGGGAATTGCTGGGTACCATTTCCTTTATGGGGATTCTGGAAGACCCAGAAGAAGAGATAATACAAGAGTTTCAAAGAGAGGGTTCCCATCTGATGGGAATAGGTACTCCTGCAGGAGGGAGGCCTGAGGGTAGCCTGAGGTAGTCACCCCAGAGACCTGGCCATTTGAGCGGCCCCTCACTACCTCCATTGCCCCCAGCTTTGGTGGGGTGACCGTGGAGTCTCAGCTAGGGTAGAGTAAAATTGGTCTGTTCATGTCCCATGGAAGTTTCCTTGGGGCTAAGACAGTGCTTCTGGGCAGTTTCCGGGTGGGACAAAGCAGCAGCCAACCTTGGCATTGGCTCCAGGTGTCAGGTAAACCCAGCAGAGGGCTGCACATTGCAGCCCTGGGCTCAATGGAAGGACATAGCCCACGGGTTCCCAGAAGGTGGCGCCAGAGGCCAGAGCAAGCCTGCCAGCAGAGGGCGGGGCCGCCGAGTCGGGCTGTGGGCGGAGTTAGACCTGGGTGCGGCCAGGGGTGGGCGGGGTCAAGGCCCCCCAGGGAGGAGAGGGCGGGACCTCGCCTCGAGCAGAGCTGCGACGACGGCGTGGAGTTGGACCAAGGCCTAAGGCTGGCGGGGCGGAGTGGCTGTGGGCAGCTGAGACCGCCGGGCTGGCTGCCGGGAGCTGCTGAGTTAGGCCTCACTCTGGAGGTATAGCTGGGTGAGTCTTTCGTTTAGCCACACCTACGCAGTTCCTGAGGGCGTTGAGGCGATGCTAGCTGGGATTCGGATCCTGTCGGTGGTGATAGGAGGGGCAAGTATGGACCCCAGGCGTCTGAATAACTTCTCCTGCGACCCCACCAGCAACCCTCAAGTTCAGATGTGCATTACTTGAACAAACAAGCGCCCTTTCTGTGTACACTCCCTCCCCTTCACTTTTGTATGCCTCCAGGCTTCTACCGGTGGCGGCTAGCGCTCAGTAGGGCTCGGCCTATGTCTTAGGCTCTCCAAGTCTCCACTCCCTCCAGCCTGAGAGCTTCTGATTTCACGACCTAAAAAATGCTATGGGCTCTGGGAGGGTCCTAGATGGAAGATGTCTCCAGTTGCTTGATGGGTGGCCCCTCTAGTCCGTGCCCCACATTTGGCACTGGAAGCAGATGGGCCGGGGCAGCAGATAACTTTCTCTGGGTTGATCCTGGGCACCCTAAAGCCCCAACGAACACCTTGACCAAAGTTGTCACCACAGCTTTGGGCACATGCTTAGGATGGCAGGGGACATCTAGTTGGCAGCTGGCCAGAACTCTGTATTGGACTTCCTGTGTCCAATACAGTGATTTGAGGCTACTTGTTACACGACTGAGGGTACTTGTTGCCTTCTGTCCTCACTGTATCACAGCCTCAGGCATTAGGGGACAAAGGCCAAGTTTGGGACTTGCCAAAATAGCTGCTCCCTTCCAGGGTTCATTCCTGCTTCCTCCAGGACCTCTGTCATAAAAGGTCTTGGGAGAGAAAGGTGAATGGACTGGCTGTGACAAGCAGCCAGGGGTGGGGAGCTCCAATCTGGAGCTCCAGGTTGGAGCACCCCACCCCTGGAGGTGGCAACAGATTGTCTCTGGGTGTGCCTGAAGGATTATAATCAGCTTTGTCCCAGATGAACTCATTCTCAGGACACATGCCTTGTTGGACTGGGCAAAGAGCTTGGACTGGTGGATGCTAAGGGGATGAAATTCCACTCTTGTTTAAGGAACATGTGGTGTGTGTGGGGAGAGTGAGGGAGGGAAGGCAGCTTTGTCTTCTTGTGTCCAATACAGTGATTTGAGTGCAAATTAAAAGCTGAGGAGTCATTCACTGTGATCCCAATGGCTCCAACTCAGCAACCACTATGTCCCCCAAACCCTGCCCTAGATTCCAGCATCAGTTTTCTACTGGCCAGGCAGGGCCAGGAGGTCATATTCACCCTGTGAGCCCCAAGGAGATCTGGAAGCGTGCTTGGTTGGCATCACCAAAGTTTAGGAGAGGACCGGGTTCATCTGAACACATAACTTTTCTGCTATTTTGGTGGAAAATGGAGGATGTGCTTTATCCAGCCTTATTAGGAACTCCTCAGACTGCACTCTCATGTCCTTGTCAAAAAGACCACCTTCCCAGATAGCTGAAGCCCATGCCAGGTCTCTCAGCTGGAGGGGTAATTAGTACATAAATAGCATGGTAATCCAGATGTTGCTGCCCAAGTGATACCGGTTGCCACCCAGCCCAGTACCTGGGGCACCAGGGAGAGCTTTCCTCAGAAACTCCGATGCCTGGATATTACTTCAGTCCTCACTGCTTGGCCTGGTGGTGCTTTGGCCATATCCACCACCAGAGGACAGAACAGCGGTCATGCACTGAGGGTCAGAAGCCAAGCCCTCTAGGTCAGGGCCTGTCTGAGCAGCAGCCAGGCATGACCAGACCTGGAGAGTGCAAGCTCTGTGAGGGTAGAGTAGGTTCAACGATCTTGGTTTCTGCTGCATATGTGGGTTCTAGCACGGTGTTATTCTTGTCCTAGGACTCAAATGTAATTGGAATTTCTATTTAATGGAATTGAAATCATCTATCCTGGCAGAGGCCTCAGGGGCTATGGACCTTTCTACTTGCCATAAGAGTATTGTTTCGCCATCCAAGACCCCTCCCCTCCCTGATTCTGTCCATCCTCCTACAGGGCTGGAACTCTTCCAGCAGTCCCTGGAAGTTTCCTGGGCAGTCAGGAAAGATGATGGGACAGACAAGCTCTATCACTATACACTTTGAGCTGGACAAAGATGAAAGTCGGTAGAGAGAGTGGCTGCATCCCATGCCTGAAATCCTGGTGGTAAAGGGTGATTCTCAGTAATGTGATTGGGTTTATAGTAGTAGAGCCACAGAAGGCCCCCTCTAAGGGATTTCCATGAACACGTGGAACTGAACCTGCTGGAAGGACTGAGCAAGATACCCCTTCCCCTGAAGTGACCAAGTCATATCTAAACTTCTGTTGCCTGGGGTAGGACATGTGGACTTGTTAGGAGAAGGCATCAGGTTTTCCATCTGGGCCTGGTCTATCCCTCCACCCCCATGTATGGTACAGAGTGGAAATCCTAGTGGAAAGGATGGCAATAAGGATTGAAGTGGCACTTTTTTTTTAGGTTATGAGAAATGATTTGTGTGTTTGTCTCTTTCCTCTGCAAACTGAGCTCATCCAGGGAAGATCTACCTCTGAATCTGGCACCGAGTTGGAGCTGGGTATGCAGTGGCTGAAGGAGGATAAGCTCAAGCACACACAAATGAAACAGGCAAAGTCAACCCAGAGGCCTAACTAGGGGAGTTTAGAAGGGCAAGGCAAACTGCATGTTTTGACTTGGATACTTACATCTTGGAGAAACCCTGGTTTCCTTATTTTTCCTTGTCATAACAAGCCCTCAGAAGCACATAACTGTAATAGCAAAGGGGTTTAATTAGCTTTCTTGGGAGCAATGCATAGGCGGTGGGGTTAGGCTGGTGGTAAACATTTCTGATGATTTTTTTTTAGTGGCTTTTAAAACATACTGTAAGTAAAGATTTGTACATTGCAACAGGAAAGGAATTATGCAGACAAGGCATCAAGCAAATCTTGTGTCTTCCAGCTTCGTTTCCTTTTCCTACTCTACCAAGGGCCATAGGCTTGTCTCCCACCATTACTGAGTGCATGGGAAACTTCCAGGGGCTGCTGGAAGAGTTCCTACCTTGTAAAAAAGGACAGATGGGGGAGGGGTGGGACCTCTGATGGGGAAGCAACACTCTTGCTGCAAGTAGAAAGATATCACACAGCTGTTTTGCATACTGAGAGATTTGTTTATTTACTTATCAAGAACAGTCAATGCTAGTGAATTCTAGGTGAGTGTGGAAAACCCTCATATACAAGAAAGATCATCCAGGCCAATCCAGGTGGGCTGCTGTGCAGGACACAGATGGGTCTCATCTGTAACCTCATACCAGCCTGAAATATCTTATTCCCCATGTTAGTGGGTGGTGTCAACAAAGCTCAGCCAGGAGGAAAGCCTTCTGTTTCTTCCTTCCTTCCTCTTCGGTTCTGTTTTCCCATCCCAGAGGAAGAGTGGAGACAGGGAGCCAATTTCCTGAACTGATACTCACCGGGAGGTGAGACAGGGCTCAGCAGCACTAGAACGAAATGAAGAGTGTGGAGCTCAGGGGATCCCTTAGTTAGGAGCCAGCTCTCCCAGCTCCCAGCCTCTCTGGAAGAGTCCAGATCCCATGGCACCCTGTAACCCATGACTACCCTCAGTCATCCTTCTTCACTCTCTGCTTCCTCTTGCAAATTTTGCCATTCTTCTTCATCCCTGCCTGTCGCCATCTTTGGACCCTGAGCCTCTCTGTGGAAGAAAGTAGCAGCCCAGAGTGAAATGGACGTGGGGAAGCAGGAAAGCCCCAATGTCTACACTGTGCCCATTTTCACCTTCCTGGAGCTGATCTGCATATTGCCTTGTCCATGACCCAACCGGCCTTGAGTGCAGCTCCTGGAGCCCTGCCAGGTCTTTATTCTCCCAAGATTTTCCTTCGAATGACTAATCACTTCCACAAATCCCAGCAGTAAATTCGCTCTAACTGAGCCTTTTCCCACCTGGATGTATCCCCTCCCTCCCCCCCCCCCCACTCTTGGCCACCCCTGATTGCATTGCCCCTCTGGTTTTCTACAAGTGACTGAGAATGCAGACTGGAAAAGTAAGTGGATGTGTGTTCATCCATCAGTTTTATTTTGGCATATGAATTGCTTCTTCTCTCATCCAGCCTTTCTCCATATCACACTCAAGTGGGAAGACATTACCTTCAGTCAGTGAAATTTAGGGAAATTCCTGCTGGGTCTCCAGGCCCATGCAGTCCCTAGCCAGGCAGCAGCTGGATCCAGGAAGGATGGTACTAACCATACCACACAGCTGTTTTGCACACAGATTTGTTCATTTACTTATCATAAAGAACAGTCAATGCTAGTGAATTCTCCTAGGTGAGTGTAGATGTCTCATCTATGAGTCCTCCAATGAGGAGAAACTCTGAAGGCAACCTCAGGACCCTCCCTGGTACTTAATAAGTCAAGAACCTAAATGCGCAGGAGCTACAACCAAAGGTTCCTCTGGGTTGCCTTGAAGACTGGTGGTTGATGAAGCCCTTTGGAAGTGCAGATGAAGGAACTGCTCAGAGCACCATGGAGAACTCAGCCCAAACATCAGTCCCTGAGGTCCTGCTAAAGACCAGCCCAGGGGACAGGACAAGTTGTACAAGGTCCTGCTGTTGAGGCGTCTCTAGTCTGATCAAGAGGAAGAAAACAACCCTAGAACAGTGAATAAAAATGGAAAACTGAATTAGAGTCCCAGACAACCCGAGACAAAAACCATCCCATGGCCAGCGGGAGCCCCTAGTCTGAATTCCAGGCTGGATGCAGGTAGGGCAGGCATATTCCTGGGGACTTTTTTCTCAGAAGACATGGAACTGAGAATTTGAAAGGAAGGCAGAGGCGCCGTTCACCCATACTTCCTGGTCCTCCTGATTCCACTGTGCTGTCCTTTGGGTCTGCACCAAGGCAGCAGAGACTCTGGGGGTCAGCTAACAGGCAGGAATTTGCGCTGTGAAGGGCAACTCCCCAGGCCTGGTGGCTGGGTAGGGCTAATTACCCCCATAGGAACCAGGAACATGTTGATTTAAATCTGCGGAAAGCCGCAGCTCCCATGACTTTTACAGAAACAGAAAACAAACATCCTTCTCTCCAAGTAGCCCAACTCACACCTGACTGGTGTGTCTGTGAAGCCAGAGAGTCTGGGTGGGGCTAAGATCAGGTCATTAGCTTGCCTATATTGCCTATATTCATGTTCCTCTCTAGGAGAAAAGGTGCGGCACCAACCCTCTGAGCCCAGACCACTCACTAGAGACAATAAGAGTTGGTCATGTGTATGCCAGGTACTTGCCCTTGTTTTACTTAGATCAGCACGTCACCCTCACAACCCCCTATGTTAGAAGGGCTAGTGTTATCATAACTTTGCAGGCTAGGCAATGGAGGCTTGGTGAGCCCGTGGCAGTCGCCTAGTTTCCATCTGGGAAGGTACGGTGCTGAGATGCAGATCCTTGTGGAGCCTAGATGTGCACCTGTAATCACCAGACACTCAGGAAGCTGATAAAAACATCCTGCAGCACAGGAGGAAACAGCAAGGACATCATGACAGGTGGAGAGGCTCTCATCAACCCAGGGAGTGCCCGCCAGGTCAGACTTCATGGAAACTCCTTCCCAGAGGCCGGAAGGAGCAATTTGGAGTGTATAGAAGACTCAGCCAGGGTCGGTCCATCAGGCTGGCTATCAGTGCTCACTGATCCCTGGATTATTCCAGGTCAGGTCAGAACTGATGACACCCCATCTGATGCATTCTTCATTGTTAGGAGAATTAAATGGGTTTGTAAAATAGGTCCAAGTGTACTCAAGTACATAGCCATGATTTATGAAGCCAGGAATTGTTTGGAATATAGTCTGGCTCTTCTAGGAAGTGTTCTCCCTCAGGAAAGCACAGGCTTATGTGAGAAGCCATGAAGCAGATCACTGAGTAATATGCAAACACTGTAAAAATGTGGTAATGGAAAGCTAGTTTGGTGAGCTCTCAGATTAATGAGAGGTGGCCTGCAGCCCCTCACCTAGACAGTCCCTGGGAGCCATAGCTCAAGATCTTCTTCCATCCCCAAGGTCACTGTCCCAAGGCCTGCTGAGGCTAACATCCAGCTGGCTTCAGGGCAGCCCTGACACACCCTCCATCTTTTCCAGGTAGGCTTCCTGGGGCTCTTGTCCGGTGGGACCAGGACTCACCATGAATTCCAGATGGTTTCCATTGTCATCTGGATATTCACTCCCTAGCTGGCCTTGGAGACTGTCACAGTCCGGCCTCATCACCCAGTATCCTCTTTCTACATCCTTCTGTTAGGGGAAAAGGATGTCCTAAAGCTAATTGCATACAGGCTTTGTGGACTCCACCCCCACTCCAGACCAAAGCCAAAAGACACTGGTGAGGACCCACAGCCAGGCAACCCGTTTTATATGGGGATTGCTCCGTAACACTTCCATGACTTTGCACCTCTGAAGACCCCTGTTCGTTTACCTTTTCGACTCCTAAATATCCTTTCAGGTCACACTGGAGTGGCTCCTCTCAGAGGCCTGTCCCTAAGAAGCCTACCAGCTAACGTACTGAGGTTACACGAAGGAGAGACACCCCCCGCCGGCCCGCCCCGCCCTTCCAAGCTCCCCAGGACAGGAAGCGCCACTGAATCCAGAGGAAGGCACGGTGTGACACCTCCACCCCCCTTTTCCGGCCTCTTCTCACGCGGGGTGGACGGCTCCCGCCAACTCCTGCGGGGCTCCAGGTAACACGCCGGCTGCGTTGGTCCCCAAAAGCGCATGCGCTCGCTCTGGTGGCAGTTTCCCGGCGACCCCGCCGCGAGCTCTTGGACACGCGTCCTCTCGGGCTGGCGGGAGCGCGCGTGAGGGGTGGTGGTGTTGGGGGGAGCATGTGCAGGGAAGGGGCGCGCGGGACGCCTGTGCGCATGCGCAGCGGCAGGCGGAGGCGCGAGCTGAGCTGGGAGATGGCGGCGGCGAGCGTGTGAGCAGCCGCCCGGGAGCCGCCGGCCCGGGCCCAGCACTACCCCAACCCCGCCCGCCCTCCTGCCCGCCATGGGCAACGAGGCCAGCTTGGAGGGTGGCGCTGGCGATGGGCCGCTGCCGCCCGGAGGCCCGGGTCCGGGCTTGGGCCCCGGCGCTGGGAAGCCGCCTTCAGCACCGGGCGGCGGCGGACAGCTCCCCGCGGCGGGCGCGGCTCGGGTGCCTGCGGGACCACCCGGCCCCGGCGCGGGCCCTGGCCCCGGCCCTGGCGGCCCCGGCCCGGGCAGGTAAGCGCGCGTCGCGGCACCCGGGGTGGGGGTGGGGGGCGGGGAGCTGCAGTCTGAGGCCGGGGCCAGGGCCCGCCGTCCACGGTCTGGTTGGACAGCTAGGTCGGAGTCTGGTCGCACTTTGAATGCATCCCCCTTGGGGTGAACTAAGTGGTCCTGCCAAGTGACCCTCCCTTTCCGACCTCCCTGTCTTGGCAAGGCAGGGTGGTGAGCGCAGGGTCAGCTGGGGCCTACAGACCATGACTCCGTCACGAACCCCAAATTCTCTTCCCCCCAAAGCTGGACTCAGGAGGGGCTTATGTAACCTCACTCTGTTCCCTCTGCACTGGGAAATAGTGGGATGGAAAACGTCCACTCTGTCTGCATGTGTCCATTGTGTTGGGTCGAGGAAAGAGCACAATGGGAGTGGCTGTCAGGAAAGATAATTGTCACTGTGAGGAGCAGAGAGACATAGAAATTGTTGAACCATGAACTTGGTCATGTGCTGTCCTCAGGTATTTAGTAACCATAACCATCTTGGGAGGGAGGAAAATGCCTCTGGACACCAAAAGGTAGTTATTTAAGCTCAGCGATACTAACAGGTCATGTGCTTTCACCAAGGTTTAGTAAAAACACTTTGGGGTGAAGTAAAAATGGTGTCGAATCATCTGGCACCGGATATGTTCCTGTTGTCTTATGATTTTTATTACCACCTCAAGCCAGTGGAAAAGCGTGAAATCCACACAGACTACTTCAACTAGAACATGAATGACCAAATACTGTGAAGACAGTTTGTTTAGAATTTATGCCAATCTAGTTTCTAAAAAAGTCAAGTGGTTCTGAATGCAGTGGAAGAGAATACCAATATGTAATAAATCAGTAGACCAAAAACTCAGGAAAGCTACCAAGAGACAACAGAATAAAATGAAGGTATTATCTTTACGCCAGATATGCCTGGGGAGTAGCAAAACCAGGAGTGCTTATGTCTTCGTGTGAGTCTGCTGATAATGATGCCTTGGTGTGGGAGCTCACCAGTTGTAAGAGAGCATAATTTTTTATTTTTCAGCTGCCCAACTATGCCTCTGATGTGTTTATCTCCTCAGAAGTAATTTTTTTGACAGCTAATAGTAATGAACAGCTTTTAGTACCCTGAAACCTACCGCAAACAGGCCAGCCTGTGAGCATCCCTTTTAGAGGTGGAATTTGTCCATTTTACATTAGCTATTACAGTAATGCAGTTAGATAGCACACAGTTCTTAACACTGAAAATACCGTCCATTTTGCTATGTGTTGAACTGCTGTTTGAGTTTTAGCTTGAAGGAGGCTCATCCAGGCTTTAGAGCCCTCCCTCCATGGGGAAAGCATCCATAGCTGAATGGAAAAAACCCTTGTTTGGAGAGCTCTTTAGATGGGGAATTTGACATTTCTCTTCTGGTAACCAAACAGGCTACTCTGCTCATCATTGGTCTGATGTTGTAGAGCCCAGAATGTGAAATTTTATAAGGATGGAAAGGAGGATGGTGTCTCTTGCTCGTGTTCCTTTTTACTGTTTCACTTCCCTCTATCTGAGTTTTGCTACAGGGCTAAACCCCAGCATGGGTTAGAGGAACCATGGCTCCTGCTGGATCAGCAGTCACATAATCTCTCTCCTGGCTGTGGGTAAGGCTCACAAATGGGCCTGTGGCGCCAAGGTCCTGTGGCTGTCAGGCTCAGGGTGTGAGCTGTTTGTCCCTAAAGCTCAGGACTAGGGGAATTTACTCTTCTAAGCTGAAGCTCAGTTTGTCACAGCATTTCAGCTGAGCAGCACCTCCATGGCTTACCTTTCCTTCAGCATCAGAATGGTTTCTGCTTCCTCTCACCAGAGCGTCTCAGGTACCTGATGCCAAATTTAGCATGTTCTGTTCTGAGATGCCGCTGAACAGATTGGCCCATTGATGGAGAAAAAACCCTGTGGCATGTGCTTCTGGGCATTCAGGGAAAGAGCATTAGCTCAGTTTCCAGCAAGCTTGTGAATTTGGGAGCAGTTGGAAACCTCATAGAGGTAGGTGGAAGGTGAGGTAAGGGGGAAGATCATTTTACTAACCCCAGAGGGAAACAGAATTAAGATTTTGGGGAAGCTGAATCCTGACTCTTTCCTGTTGCCATATTACCCCTTGTCACCCCAGGCTGAATTAGTCTTTTCCTGCTCATACTCAGCTCACTTGGGCTCTGTGAGGGGGTGGCTACAGCATTTGTGGCTGAAGAGCCTGACCTGAATTCCATGAGTAGCAGCACCACCACATCCATGTACCACTTAGCCCTTTTGGATGATTCGGCACTATGGACATTGGAGAGTTCTACAAGGCGGGGCTCTCTGCTTCTGGTCTAAGGGGTGTATTTACAGTTATATAGGTTCTGCTTAGCAGAAGATCAGGGAAGGCTGAACGCTGCCCCAGGCTCCACTATCCAAACTGTGTGAGCTGCGTCTTCCTAAAGGAAGGGAAACCTTTCATTCATGTATACAGTCATGGATACAGTTACCTGTTTTTACAGAGGTATGCAGCGAAGTGCTCAAGTCGATAAGGTTTTACCCATGCCAAACCACCAATTCAAGATGAAATTTTATCAGCCCAGGAAGCACCTTTAATTAAAAAATTGCACAAAGCAGCCGTGTAGATCAGTGGCAGACTGTCTCATCTACACCAGTCTTGTGCTTTGCACGTATTTTGACATTTGCAAATTCATCTTCAGTCAATCAGCCAAGGTGTATTTATCAGTACCAAAAATAGGCTCTATGCTGGACTTCGTGTAGGATCTGAAAGGGCATCCAGTGCTCCCTGTTCTCTAGTACTTTGCAGTCTGGTTGATCAGACATCTCTGGAAGAGACAAATCATTGAAGGATTCTATGAGCAACACTGTGGGCAGTTCAGTGCTGGGAAGTGTCAAATAGGCAGTACTTATAGAAGCAGTGTCAAGTTAGAAGAGAGGCAGAGCCAGGCTTCAAAAGGCATGCTGGAAAAATAGTGGTGAGAGGTAGAGAAAGGCAGAAATGGCATATGGGTGTGGCCTAAACACGTAGAGAGAGTGAGCAGAATGGGACCGAGTTCAGGAGTATGGAGGAGAGGTGGGATGAACTGGAGGAGGCATCTCTTTATTACCCTTCGAAATCTCTGATCAAGGTTGAGGTTGCCTCTTGCTCACTTCCAGCCCATATGCCATGGAGACATTGTGAGCCAAAGACAGCTGGACACAGAGTACCTGCTCATTTGTGGGAAGGTGGAAAGGGCTGCTCTGAGAGCCACACCCCGAGTTCCTTTCTTGAAGTGGGTGGTCAGGTGCAGTATCTCCGGTCTGCAATTAACCAGACTTGTTATAATAAGTCAGCTAACAACCAGAGTCTGGAAAAATCTGAGACTAATTTGTAAGGATAAAATGAAAGCACACAATTGCTAGGTTTGGAAATAATGGTCAATGGTCCTTTACCATTTAGAGATCACGTTGGCCCTGGTGGCAGGATTCTCATGGAGGACATGTCATGGGGTTTGCATTAAAGTCATCTAACTTCTGAGTGGTGATGATATCTAAATTTCACTCAAAGCAGGCAGCCATTTTTGTACCGTGTCAGGGAGAGGTGGTTATGATAATACAGTTGTTCCCAGTATTATTCACATTGATAATATGCTGCTGATTTTAAAAAGTGTGGAGATATTAGGGGAGAGAAAGGCTATCTTTAAAAAGTGTTATAGAAAACTTCAAATGTACATTAGAGCAAAGAGAATAAGCTAACAAACCCCCGTGTTCCCATTGTTCATTCACAGCCATCATCAACTCTTGACTGACCAAGTTTATCTCTCTCACTTTCCCTCCTGGAAGCAACTTCCAGATAGCCCAATGTATTATCAATATTTCATTATGTATTTCCACAAAATAAGGCCTTTGTGTGTTACCGCAGCATCATAGTCACATCCAAGCAGACTAACAATCCCTGTTTTTTTTTTTTTTTAAGAATTATTTTTTTTTCTAAGATTTATTTATTTATTTATTTATACAAGCACTGGGTACAGTCAGAAGCGCGGGAGGGTGAGAGAATTCACCAGAGCCAGAGCGGGGAGCAGAGCAGGCAGAAGGACCGAAGTACACTGCTGAGGGGAGCAGCGGGCGGCAGGAGAGGTCTGTGCGCCATGCGGGACCCTCCTGGCCGGGAGCAGCCGGGGATCGAACTGGCGCTGCAGAGGCTGCGGGCAGCTTCACAACCCAGCACTCAACCTTTGCGCCACTGGGGAGGCCCTAACAATCCCTGTTTAATCTCAGCAAAAATCAGTTTTTATGATTATCTTAGGAATTTATTTTCACAGTTGGTTTGTTGGAACTGTAATCTAATGCATTTAATTTGTTTGATGTATCTCTTCCATTTCTTTAAACC